ATGGCTGGCCTGTCTTCGATCTTGGAACGTGCGATGAGACCCGCACGCAAAGCCCGACCCAGTCGCGCCAACGGAGTCCAGCCTCCGGCGCACGCCCTCAGCCTCGAGACCAAGGCTCGCACCGGCCCCAGATCCAGTCGTTCGAACTCGGCAGGAGTCCGTGCAGCAAGTAGGGCTGTTTCCCACTCCCAAGACCAGGGTTCACCAGCACTGTCGTCCCGGGTGAAGGTGTCTCTCTGATAGCCCTGCTGAGCACCGATCGAAGGTGCCTGGGCACCCCCGGAGGGGATCCTGTGAGGGGGACTCTGAAACCACGCTGAACGAGGAGAGGCTAGCTGTTGCAGGGTCTCTCTCTTCAGTCTGGGGAGCTGTGCGTCGGTCAGGGGATCGGCTGATGTGAATAGTGAGGTCCCCAAGTTGTAGAGACAACTCCTCCACGTCAGGGGGATTGTTCATGCACTGTTTCTGTACTCACCCAGCCGCCGCCTAAGAGCTTGCCCGGCGTTGGGAGCTTGGAGAGGTGCAGTGTTGGATACCAAGGCCCAAACAGCGTGCTGAACAACTCGCCTGCAGGTATTAGAGTCCACCAGCAAGGTGAGGCCAATGCCTAGGCACAGTCCTGCTCCACAGCACAGGATCCCAACCAACACCACCGAGGAAAGACCTAAGCCGGTGCAGGAACCTGAAGGCCACAGCCAGCGCAACTCACGAGTGAGTTCCAAAGCGTATGGCCAAAAACTCATGCGCCGGCTGGTTTGAACCGAGATTTCTTGATGCAACTGGCTCCTGTCATGTGATACAAGCATATATTATACATGTATAGATTCGGTCATCCAAGTTGAGTCATTGGGAAACAATGAAAAACGTCCTTTGATCATCACGCCCCTCCTGGTGCAGGTGCAGGAGTCGAAGACCACCAAGGCATGGCTGGCCAAATACGAGATTTCTTGCAGCCTGTTTGGTTGATATCAACAAGCATGAATGGTATGAACCAAGTGTTGCTTCTGACACTTGATCACGTGCATCAAATCGTGCATGAACATTGCATGAGTTCTGGGTTTCGAGCACCGCATGTCCGCAAATATCACATAATTGCAAACCGAACTTTGATCACAAGAGCATGTTTTTCTTGCGAAAAATCCTGATGCATGATCCCGGAAACATGGTTTTCTGCAGATGCGTGGCATGGTGAATGCAAGAGTGGGGTTCACCTTCAATGGCATTGCTTTGACACGGGAAATTATGACCCCAAGTGCGGGTTTTGTGCATTGCACTTTTTGCTCTGCGCATATTTCCTCACAGGCCGCGCAATATCACAACCGCGCAAGGCAATCAGCCCAATCAAGTTTTCAAATTTCAAGCATCCTTTGTGCAAAATTTGCGATCTGGGGTTCCACGGATTGTTTTCCGCATGTCATGTCTGCTGTCGACTGCTGTGTGGTTGACAAGTGTCAAACCCCATTCAGCTATTAAAGCGACTTTCAATATCCCATCAACCGTTAGGCTATCGAACCGGTTACTTTGCATCCATTATGGCGCCTACACCAATGTTTTCAAACAAAACTTATTCCCACATCTTTGTGCAGGGTTCTTGTCTTTTCTGCGCTACCTTCCTCCTCCCGCCCGCTCCTCCTCCCCCCCGCTCATCACATCATTTCACTTCACTTCACCTGACCTCACCCCACCTCACCTCACCTCACTTTGTCTCACTCACTCAATCACTTACGATCAATCCCACGCCCGCACTCCTCCGCTATGATACCTCTTCATGCCGCTTTTGCCCCCCCTCACTCACTCCCTCACTCACCCGCTTATTCCCTCCCCTCCCTCCCTCCCTCCCTCCCTCACTCACTCACTCACTCATGCCAGTGTTACAGTCAGGTTCCTTCACTTTCAAAACACAAACCAAACAAATCAATAAACTTCCGATTGGAGTGTGCGCAAGCGTCTCCACAAATATCTCTCTCCTATCCCAGACCGTCCGATTTCACAGTTCTCGCGCGCCCTTCCTGCTGACTTGATGATGTCAGCTTGTGTCCGAGCGAAATGTCGAAGACGGGGTGAACAATCCATTCGGGCAGCCACCTCGCTTGCCAAGCAGTGCAAATGCGTGGGGCTTGAGCTGCGCACAAGGTGTCATGACAAAATTCTCTGAAAGTAGAATCGGCCTTCCATGAAAGAATGTTGCTACATTTCGCACCACCCACAGCCCCATCCAAGATCCATGCAGAACATTGTTTGCAACTTGATTTGTTTTTTCGGTTCTCTGTGACGTGTGACAAAAGTGGTGAGGCTACAGCACCAAGGTGTCTTGCTTCCATCTGCCACTAGGTATGTGAACCTCCGAGCCCTCCATTCCAGAGCTCTGCCTCCGTTAAGCGCATGATATGTCACCCACAGGGCGAAAGGCGTAAATCGCAAGGCGGACTCCTTGCAAGGAACTTCAAACGCATTGCAATTTGTGGCACTCGCGACCAACATGGTAGTAGTGATGGAGGTCGGTTTCATTGTTCAGATGAGTGCTTCCTGGTCAGTTGATCTGCAACTGGCTCGTCTTCGTCCTATCCTTTACGTCTCTTTCTGGCAATGTAGCTGCAAGAAACAACATCCACACCGGCAGTGTCTAGAAAAGGAACATGACTTGTTTCTTACGGACTTGACTGTGAACAACTTTGAAGCAACACTACCTGGAATTCTTCCTCATCTGAGGGCCGGGCGTAAGTCAGCATTTGTGTCCCAGTTGCATGTTTTTGCGTTTTCTCTTGTATGGTTTCCTGTAGAGATCTTTCTGTATCGCTCTTACTCGACTTCATGTTTGGATTTTAGCGATGCGAGGCCTGATCTCAAAGCACGCCCCGAGGGAAAAAATCGTGCTATCCTTTTGCGGGCTGGGTGATTTTTCGACACAAAAATTGTTTTTCCTACCTCGAGTGTTTTTTCAACTCCAATAAGGTTTCTTTTCAACCTCAAGCTCGAAAAAAACCTTGCGAGAGCGCCCAACAGTTTTTTCAACCCCAAAACGGCTCTGCTTGATTTGCCAAGTTTTGTTTTAAACCTCAAAAAGAGATGAATTGCAAGGTTTTTTTTCGACTTGAAACATGTTTTCTTAACCCCAAGGAAAAGAGAGAAACACGAACGAAAAGAATGATCGAGAAAGGCGAGAAAACTCGTTGTGTGTGATACTTGTGTGGTAAGTCGTGGGCGGTTGGTTGGGTGCACTGGACTGATCACAGGGGAGAATGGTCACACGTCATTGTCCAAACAGGACTGGTCACACGACACTGTCCGACGAAGTCGCTGGTCACACAGGTGGGAAGTTAGGTTGTCGCAGATCTTTTTTGCACACACCCATCGACAACTGCCTACACGTCTTTATTTGGTTTGCCAACCACCAACCAACCAACCAACCAACCAACCAACCAACCAACCAAGCAAGCAAGCAAGCAAGCAACCCACCAACCATTCAACCCACCCAAAGCAAACCAAGCAACCACCAAGCAACCAAGGAACCACCAAGAAACCACCAAGCAGCCAAGCAAGCAAGCAAGCAAGCAAGCAAGCAAGCACGCAAAGCACGCAAAGCACGCAAAGCACGCAAAGCACGCAAGCACGCAAGCACGCAAGCACGCAAGCACGCAAGCACGCAAGCACGCAAGCACGCAAACACGCAAGCACGCAAAGCAAGCAAGCAAGCAAGCAAGCAAGCAAGCAAGCAAGCAAGCAAG